GCACCTCAGGTGAGAGCTTGGCAGGCTTCCTGGGAGGAGACCCTGTAAGGAAGGAAGGCCTGGAAAACATATCTCTTTGGTGAGGACCAAAGGTACAAAAGGAATTTCAACCCCAAACAGTTCCCCGCTGTTCATGAATGCCCTATCCCTTGCTTCTTACCCAAAACTACCATTTTGGAGGATGCGATTTTTTTTTTCATATCAAACGAAGTGGTAAGGGAAAATCTGCCAAAGTTTGAGATGTGCCACAGTTATAATAAAGATCCTTACCTATTCATCAGGAAAGCCTCTCTTCGGGAAAAACTCATCACAAATTAGGCTGTCAAGTCACACCCATTGCCACGAAAGCATGTGCATGAGTTTGTTAACTGTTGCTGCTGATATCATCACTGAGGATGCACAGCTCTCACTTCTCCCCTGGCCCATGGGAAATTTAAGCTCACTCCTTTCTCCCTTTATTCTTCATCTCATTAATCATGCATTCTGTCTGCATTCATGAAATTCATTATTCGATCATCGTTGAATACCTACTATGTGCCTAACATACTACTCTGTGCCATGATACAGTAATGACAATAACAAGGCAATAATAGCAGCCATACCCGACGTTCATAGAGTGCTTGTTGACTATGAGCCAGCAGCTAAGTAGAAACAGTAGCTCAATTAATCCTTGTATCAATATCCTGAGGTGGGTACAACTATACGCTAGACTATTTGCAGATAAGCAACAGGACAGACAGATTAATTCACTAAGCCACACAGTAAATGTGAGAGCCAGGCTTTAGGCTCATGTCTTTGAACACCAGTGTCTGCATCTTGCTCTCTACACCATTTAGAGGGAAATTGGCAAAGCCTTAGGAAGTTTCAATGGACTGAAGATAAACATTAAACAAGTGCACAAACACCCTGCAATTCCCAATGTTAATGGGAAATATAAGAAAAACAAGATGTCTTCAAAAAGGGGTATGCATGGCTAAGGTTCTCCCTGCAGGCTATGAAATGAGTATTTATCTTTGGCTTCTTATCCCACCTAAATGACAAAAGTATAAAATTTAAGAAAGTAAGTTGACTTAAAATGCTTTGGAGGAAGTTTTGGAGGCTGGGCTGAACTAAGAACCCTTTATGCTTGCCATGAAGTCTTATGTTGTTGGTGGTCCTTCTTGCTGGTACACTTGGAATGACAAAAGATGAGGAATTGGGATATAGAACCACTTTGGTTTTATCCCTCCTGAATAAGAAAATTCACCTTTAGATCAGCTGCCCCTTCTTCACTGGTGGAAATGATCGGCTCCTCATCTGCTAACGTTCATCAAGTGACCCATGATGGATGTCCTAGTCCATTTTGCTGCTACAACAAAACACCTAGGATGGGTCATTTTTAATAAACAACATAAATTTACTGTCTCACAGTTCTGGAGGCCTGGAAGTCTAAGATCAAGGCACTGGCATCTAGTATCCCATGAGGATTACTCTTTGCTTGCAAGTTGATGCCTTGTTGCCTTGTCTCTGGAGGGGGCAGGAGCTGTATCTTCCCATGGAAGGAAAGATGGAAGGGGTAAAAGACAACAAACTGCCTCTACCAAGGACATCTGAAAGCCACACCTTTTAATCTTGCTGCACTGGGGATTAATTTTTGATGTGAATTTTGGAGAGGATACTATCATTCAGATCACAGTGGTGACCATCTAGGAAGCCTTAAATTCCCCCTTAATACTTTTGGCTTACTAAAAACAGGAAAAGTTTGGCCTATGATGGACAACACATGGGCTTCTGGAAAGAATTCAAATGAAAGGTCTAGATTCAAAACATCTTGATGGGATTTGGCTCTGAGCAGACTTGGAAATTCACTGAAATGCTCATGTAAAGAGAACATGGACACAGAAACAGAACCAAGCTCCCGGGGGGGACAAAATTCCTTTTCCATGATAGGAAAAAAGCAAGCCTTGACTTCATGACCCGGATTGATCAATTACAGAGCTACTGTCCTTGTGTTAGAGAAATCACACAGAAGGGAGAAAGTCTCTCTTTTCTCCTCGGGAGGTTGTCTACAGATCTGGGAAAGTTTTGTGTTGCAGTGGGTCCTTATTGACTTTATGTGTCAGCTTTGTGTCTTCAGTCTTTGGAGTAGGCACTGCCTGTAAGCACAGGATCACATCCAAAGGTGGTAGGATGTATCGAGGCCTCATTCGGTGCCTCCTTCATTCATGTGACTGAGGCTGCTAAGAATTCGGAGGGGAGACGGAGAGGGCGAGGTGTTCCTCATGGTTCCATTCATTGTGTGTGCTTCACACCTCTGGATACATGGGCAACAGCATTGTTCAGGTCCAATAGAATAAATTTCCAATTCGTGGTTCAGAATCATAAAAAGTGCAGTTCTCGACGTACTGCCTCAAGAAAGTCACCTCTTTCATCAACTTACTAGCATTTCATATAAGGGCTTATAGTCTGCCAGGCTCTCACTCCAGATGCTACTATTTCTAAATGCGTGAAGAACTAAAATCTAAGCTAATCACCGGGCTCTCAGTAAGGGTTAAACAGTCTCTAGGAAACAAATGATACACTAATGTCATTTTTTGTATCTAGCAAGCTATACTTGATATTAGACCAGCTACAGTTAAACTATGAGTATGAGAAGCCTAACTTAATATTGAAGAGAAACAATCTCAAGGTTAGAAATAAAGCTTTTCAAAGTGACATAACACTCATATACTAAATTCCTTGTCAGTGCCATGAGACTTAAAAAACAAACCTGAAAACCTTGTTGAACGTGACACTCTTCAGAAATGTCTTCTATATCCCATTTCTTAAACAAATCTGTTAAGATAATTGACTTTGATTCTTACTTGACTCATTATGATAATCCTTTTTTCCTTCTAAAATATATTTCATTAATAAATAAAATCATGTCCTAGCATTGATCAAGAAATAAAACACCAAAAATTGCAAATAAAGGTGTTTTTTTTAAAAATGTATGGCATTTTAGAGTCTGGACTTCTCCAGAATGAAATGAAATGTCTTTATACCTTCTTCTGTACATGTGTTGTCATTACATGGGATGTGACCTGAAAAACTGGATAGCATATTTATGTAAAATGCCTGAAAATATGACATTATATCTCATTAGCCCAGAACAAGTGAGATTTTCTGTGTTCTATTACAGGAAGAGGAAAAAAGGAAATAAAACACTGTAATAACTGCAGCTTGTATTAACTTCAGAGCAAAAGATCATTTTCTTTCCTTTAAAAAAAAAAAAAGCTTGGGTTTACAAAAATAAAGTATTTAATAGTAAGATGTTGGAAAACCACCTGCAAATTACTTTCAGCCCTCTGACAAACAATCTAATTTGAATCACCAGTCTAAATAGGTCATTTAACTTGGAAAAATTAAAATTAGCTGTGCAGGGTCAATTTCTTTGCTAACACAACTGCATCCTGCATGTCCTGTTCTCTTCAAAGTCAAACTGGAGGTAAGTGTCAAAAACAACCGTAACAAATCAATTGATTCCAAATCTAAAAGTGATTCTGCCCTTGCAATGCTCATAAAAGTTACCCTTATGAACACAAATACACAGAGGGAGGGGCTTCTTCCAGGAGCTATAAGTGGGAAGAGGGGAGGCAAGGCAGACTGTTGACATTTCAGGGGGAGGGCAGCCGGGAGGAGGTGACAAATGGTCTTTGCCAATGCCCACTTCTGCATTTCACAGACACACTTCCACTGCACGGCAAATCAGAATGAACCAAGACACACTCCAGGTAACGCAAACACTCCGGTGCAAGTTCAGTCTCCCAAGCCTTTCCTCTATCACAGTAATGACATGAAACCGCAGCCTTACTGTTTAAACATTTAATCACCCTCACGACACGAGTGAACTCGGGGACCTCCCTACTCCCCAGAAAACCTTCCCAGGAATAGGACAAATGACAGTTCTGAAACTGGCATCTTTACGGAATGAGAACGCTCAGCGGAAACACGCAGGAGGACAAAGTTTGGCTGACTGGGACCTCTCGCTGTTCCTCCAGCCCCCCGAACAAGCCACAAAACCTAAGGGACCTGAACGACGCGAGAACACGCAGGGGTCTGGGGGCCAAGGGCCTTGGCTTGGGAAAGGAGGGCCTCCCGAATGGCTGGCAGGCAGGGGAGGCACAGCAAGGAGTTGGTCTTGTTTCAGGACTCTCCAAAGCCAGCGGGAAATGTACTTCCCATCCTTTCTGAGTTAAAGTAACTTTGATGCTCCGAGTAGGGGAAAAAGTGCTTTCCGATTCCCCGGCTCGCAGCAACTGAGGATCCCCAGGCGAAGGGGGATCAGAAACGCTGATAAAGCAGCTGTCCTCCCTGGCTCGCTGCCCAGCGCCTCTGCCCCCGCACGAAAGTCGGACCGCTTCCCCCACTCAAGCCCTCTCGTGGACAGCCGGAATGCCAGGACCTTCGCTCTGTCCAGGAGGCAACCCGAAGGCTTGACATTGGGGAGTCTCAAGGAACATTCTCAGCCACACTGTTCTGCAAAGGTCGAAATCCAGAACAGACTCCAGAGGAATTCGTCTCCAAGGTGGACGACCGAATACTGACAGCTGGGCCGGGACAAAAACCATTTCACTCCGGTTCCCCGCCCCACGAGGCAAAGGCAGAAAACAGTGGCCGCCAGCGGCGCAGCAGGCGGGCCGCCCGTGCCACCACAGCCTCTCCAAAGCCGCTTTCACCTCGCGGGGTCAGCAGTCCTCCGTGTCCCAGCGCGGCCGGCCCCCGCCCCCGGCTTAGTCCGGAGCGGCTTCGGCTCCAGGACCGCGCGTCCCCCCCACCCCACCCCCGACCTCCCGGAGTCGGGGGGCGTCCCCCGCTCTTCAACCCCGGTGCGAGGCGCCCGCGGCCCGGCCGGGGAGCGCAGGGCTCCGGCCTCGCAGGGCTCCCGCGCCCCGACGCCGGCGCTCACAGCCCGGCCCCCGCCCCGGCCCGGATGCGCCGCGGTCCCCTGTGCGCGGCGCCGGGGCGCGCGCTCAACTCACCGGAGGTGAGCTGCATCCAGGCACAGATCTTGTACACGGTGGCCGTGTTGCAGAAGAAGAAGAGGGTGAAGCACACGATGCAGGCGATGATGAGCATCATGGAGAGGCCGATGAAGAAGGAGGCAGCTTTGAAGGCGCCCGAGGGCAGCGTGGAGAAGTCCGTGAAGCTGCCCCTGCAGGTCAGCTCCCGGGAGAAGCCGTTGCCGATGCAGTAGTGGAAGAGCCCGAAATAGCCGGCTTGCGGCGTGTCCACGCCGTCGCCGATCCAGTAGGGCTGGATGAAGCACACCACGTTGACGATGGCAAAGCAGATGGTGAAGATGGCCCACAGCACGCCGATGGCCCGCGAGTTCCGCACATAGTTGGTGTGGTACAGCTTGGCTGCCTCCTGAGCCGGGAGCATCGCGGCGGCGGCGGCGGCGGCGGCGGCGGCAGCTCCGGGCATTCTCCCCCGCCTCCCCCGCCTCCCCTTCCTCCTCCCCCTTCTCCTCCTCCTCCTCCTCTCCTCCTCCTCCTCCGCCGCCGCCGCCTCCCCCGCCCGTGCGCGCACGGGAGGCACTAGCCGCACCGCGCGCTGCAACTCCCTGCCTCCGCCTCAGCCCCGCGGCCCCACTTCGAGAGCCCGCATCCCAGCTCCCGGAAGGAGGGCGGGGGAGCGCCGAGCGCCCCTCCGGCTCGCCTGGCACAGCCTCGCAGCCTCCCTCCCGGCCCGGGCCCCAACCCTCCTCGCCCCCCACCCCCACCCCCTCTTGCCGCCACCGTTTGCAGCTGCAGCAGCTGAAGCCCGCAGATCGCGCGCGCCCCGCGCCGCTTCCCGCCTCCTGCCCGCGCTGCCCGCGCCCAGGGGGCGCCAAGGACCTCGGCGACCAAGGGATGCCCCTCGAGTGGCGGGCGCGAGCGTGGAGTTGCGGGGGGGGGGGGGGTTGCGGTTGGGGTGGGGCTGTGGGAGCACCCACGGGGAGCCCAGAGACCACACCGGGATCCCGGGAGGGGGCGGTAGGAGATACCGATGCTGGGAGCTGGTTGTCACCGCACAGCAACGTGCTTGTACCTCCGCGTCTTTGCAGAGGTGCTGGGGGGGGGGGCGGCAGATGCGGACGCAAGGGGACGCCTGCCCCTGGAGACTCCTCCTTGGGGACATACACAGGGCCCCTGGCTGCCTCCTCGGTTGCCTCGGGGTCGACAGGTGGAGACAGACCTCCGGGGTGGTCACGCGCCTGCTCCAGGAGCCTGTTCCCTCTTGCCTGCCCCGTCAGACCGTCGAAAGAACTCCAGCACATGGACGCCCCAAAGGTTCCCTTAAGTCGGATCGTCGTCCCCCCCCCACACACAAACGCTGCCCTAGATGGGGCCTGTGTATGTATGTACACTGTATTGTACAGTTTGCTTGCAGAGAGCGGGTGGTTAGGCCAATGTTACATCCGCGCAGATCCATTGGTGGCTACTGTGAGCTGAGAGAGCTTCAGTGAACCGGAGGCTTGTTTTCAGGGTAATTTCCCCCTGAATGATCCAGAAAGGATTCCTGCCCTGTTCCCTGGCATTGCTGGTGCACACCTGCGCCTGTGCTGCTTCCTGGGCTCAATCCTTCCCTTTCTCCAGTCTTTCCATTGCTCTCTTTACAGTCCTTGCCTTTCAAACTGTGTTTCTTTATTTCTATTGGTTACAGTTTTGCTTCCCCCGATTCTGATAGAAACGTGTAACCCTCCTCAATGCAATACAACCAGGGTGCTCCACAGCAGGAACAGGTCTTGGTAATCGCTGAATTCTCCTGGCAGAAAGGTAGAATTACACCTCAGCGTCTCTACTTAATTGGCTCTAGATATAGCTATTTTATGGAAGAGCAGTAGTAGCCGAGGTGATGATGGCTACGTATGCTCCTCATCTGATACCCTGATAATTTAAGACTGCAGGGAGAGGGAGACGCTGCAAATAAGACTGTGGGACACACAAGACAATGAAGTGACTGTGGCTGAAACTAGGAAAGGATTTGAAAGTGAGCGTGAGAATCTTGCACGCAGCGTTCCCTATGGACATGAGATGCAGACATTCCGCATCAAGGCCCAGCAGGCAGCGCTTTGAAAATCAACAGTGGGCAGAATCAAACAGTAGCATGGGACATGTTAAGTTCAGGTGTGGAAGAATTTCTGGCAAGTGCGATCACAGTCACTCATGAGGTCTTTAAAATACTAGAGGGGTTTAGGGAGGAGGTGAGGAAGATGGCCTAAATATGGGCCAGCCCAACATAAACAAGTCTAGTATCTGCTAACACTAACCGATAGAATAAATAAAGGGGAGAGTGATCCAACATGGGAAGTGAGATACTCAGCAGACTCATAGAATGGCGGATGTCCTAAATCGCACTCTGGCCTCAGAATCAGCCCTAAAGGCACTCGGATCTGGCTGAAAAGCCCATGAGAGTATTTCAGGCATGGAAAGCCAAGGCACTCTGGCAAAAAGATCTCTGTGAGTGAGATCCCAGTGGAAAGAACAGGTCTTCAAAGAGGGAGGTGCCTTTCTCTGAAGGGAGGAGAGAACCTCCACTTTGACTATGACCTTGTCTAAACAAGATAAGAGTCGGAGAACTCAAGGGGCTTCCATAGCCTTGGAAACTCATGACTGGTGCATAGGGAGATTATTGATGCCATAAACAGGAGTGTCAATTTGTAAAGTCAACAACAGGAGTCACTGTGCACTTACTCCTCATGTAGGATCTCTGTCCTTAATGTGCTGTACACTGAGGCTTAATGCTATAACGAGTACTCAAACAGTATATTTCACTTTGTGTTTCTATGGGGGTGCAAACGATTGAAATCTTTACTTAATGTACACTAAACTGATCTTCTGTAAAAAAAAAAAAAAGAAAAAAAGAAATTATCAATTCCCAACTTGACTCTCACTGGGATTAAACATGACAATAGGTCTGATCTGATTTCATCATGATTTAAAAAAAATCATCTATTATTTTTCACTTTATGTTTCTGTGTGGGAACAAGCTGTTGAAATCCTTACTTAAGGTATACTAAGCTGATCTTCTGTATATTAAGATAATCGAAAATGAATCTTGATGTGAATGGAAGGGGAGAGGGAGTGGGAAAGGGGAGGGTTGTGGGTGGGAGGGACGGTGGGGGGGGGGAAGCCATTGTAACCCATGAGTCGTACTTTGGAAATTTATATTCATTAAATAAAAGATTAAAAAAAAACAAAAAAAAACTTAAAAAAAAAAATATGGGCCAGCCCAATATAACACTTGCAACTCTCTAAAAATATAATTCACAATGATGTTATCAGTGCATGGATGGGGGAAGGGGTCTAAACTTCTGTTAGGTTTCCTGCATCTTAAATCCGGTGAAGTTGCTGGCAAATGGGAGGAGTTTTCACCTGGGAGGAGTAGAAGGCATGGTGAGGGTGATCAGACCATTGGGCAGCCCTGTGTCATGGGGGCAGAGACACAGCTGCTATAGCAAGAACAGGCAGTAATTTCTAGTGGTTAGAAATAAAACCTCCCCACACCTGTTTGTATAAAGTGGCCTTTCTTTCAAATCAATGTCTCAAAGAGATCTTATTGTTCTCCTGGGGGTGGTTGAGAAAGGAGGCTGCTGAGCAGGGAAGGCTGAGAACCAGAAAGCCTAGTTTAGACCTCCGTGCTTAAATTGCCTTCATAGGACAAAGAAGACTGGCAAGTGACTCAGATCCAAATGTTGTGATTCAAAGAGCTTTTCTATTTGAGTCGTGCCCAAGGAGAGCCTTACTCCTATTTCAAGTTTGGCATTGCCTCTGGCTTCACGCTCTCTCTAGCAAGGGGCCGCTCCTGGGCTCCACTCTTCTCAAGAGCAGCTAGGAATAGATCAGTGCTGGTGCATCGCTGACATAAAGTGGATTCCACTTTGGGATCTGAGCTGTTTGTCACTGAGGTTGGGGCCAGTCGAGGCCAAGGAACCTGTTTGTCACTTGCACCCTGTTCTGCACAATGGCAGATTTTCAGGATGGAGCAGGATCTCCGAAGACTCTAGAAATTTTGGATGAGCTCAACCTGCTGACTTTTTTTTTTTTTTTTGGACAGGCAAAGTCAGACAGTGAGAGAGAGCGAGAGACAGAGAGAAAGGTCTATCCTTTTTCCGTTGGTTCACCCGCCAAGTGCCGCCGCGGCCGGCGTGCTGCGGCCAGCACACCGTGCTGATCCGAAGGCAGGAGCCAGGTGCTTCTCCTGGTCTTCCATGGGATGCAGGGCCCAAGCACTTGGGCCATCCTCCACTGCCTTCCCAGGCCACAGCAGAGAGTTGGCCTGGAAGACGGGCAACCGGGACAGAATCCGGCACCCCAGCCGGGACTAGAACCTGGTGTGCCAGCACCGCTAGACGGAGGATTAGCCTATTGAGCTGCGGCACCGGCCATCTTCTTATCCTTAATCTAAAACTTGTAGGTTATACCACGTAGAGTTTAGGAGTGTAGACAGCTAAGCATATGGGCTACTCATTGCATTCCTCAAATTTGATGTGACTAGGAGAGTTGCTTTGGGGTGGAGGAAATAATAAATAATAAAATAATAATAAATAATAAAACTAGCTTGAATAATACTAAGGAGTTGCTATTGATATAAAATTGTTTTGATTCATATGTGCTAAGTAACTAGAAGTCAGTGTCATCAGCAGCATAGAATTAGAAACAACACTGAAATCAAACTTCGCAGTTAAAATGATTTTCTCCTACTGCCACCAAGGGGCAGTAGTGAGACCTGAGACCTACTTGTCTCACAAACTGTGTCTCCATGAATGTAGCTGAAACTACAAATGACAAAGCAATGGAAGAATAGTCTGGCATGGAACCCTGCTACTGACGAGGGTCTTGGGTGAGATGAAGAGGTAAATGTCTGGAACACAAATGGGATGGTGTGAAAGCCTTGGAGGATGAGAGATGTGGGGTGCAGAAGAGAGCTCAAGGCTCTTGGGACTCTGCTTTTCATCATCGTTAGAACTATATTGAGGGGCCGGCACCGTGGCAAAGCCGGTAAAGCTGCTGCTTGAGGTGCCAGCATCCCATATAGGCACTGGTTCGAGTCTCGGCTGCTCCATTTCTGATCCAGCTCTCTGCTCTGGCCTGGGAAAGCAGTAGAAGATGGCTCAAATCCTTGGGCCCCTGCAACCATGTGGGAGACCAGAAGAAGCTCCTGGCTCCTGGTTTAGGATCAGTGCAGCTCCAGCTGTTGCAGCCATCTGGGGAGTAAACCAGTGGATGCAAGACTCTCTTTATCTCTCTCTCAAAAAAAAATTATGTTGAGGAAGAAGACATCAGATTAATTCTAAGGCTGCTTTCTGCAGTAAATTCAACCCTATTCTACAAAGAATACTCCAAGGTGACTTTGAAAAAAAAATTTAAAGAGAAATACAACCAGGTACTTGAAAAAAATTAGATGAGATCTAAAGAAAAGGTATCAGACTGTAGTGAAACAGATATTTTATTTTAAAATTAAGGAACTTTT